GCGGACTCTTCTGTAGATTCTTCCTCTGGCTCTGGTGGTTGCTCGACAGGCTTAGCTTCAGCGCGAGATGTAGGAACACGCTTTGGTCGTTCCTGAATCATAAGCTGCTCATCCGTCTGCAACACTCGATAGGACTCATTCCACCCAATAGTAAAGAAATTTTCAATGACCAATGTTACCATCTTCTGCTCCCCAACGTCTTGCCACTTGGCATGGAAAGCGTCACATCTAACATAAGCCCCTAGCCCAACATCTCGCGTATGAATAAAGCGATGCATGTCGCTTCCTAACAGTGCTTGAATGCATAACTCCCCATCACCAAGTAATAGTCGGATCGCTTGCCATCGTCCTGAACTCGACACAGCAACGCGATCGATGCCCTCTACTAGGAATATGCTCCCGGGTACGCAATAGCGCGTGCGTAGAATATCCTCAACTACAGGCGTGAGCTTGAATGGTTCATCGAAAAATGTGATGGCGGATGGATCCAGCCTCACCGATTCGTCGTCAGGCATGTGCGATTGTCCATTTGATGGCTGTTGATGATGAGGTGCAATAGTACGTGAAGTCATTGGATGGATCTGTGAATGAAGTCAGTATGCATTTATCCACAATTCTATCAAAGCGGGGTTCTTGTGCCACCGCAACCACCATCTTCTTCAACACCAGCTCAAAATGGACAGTCCGTATAAGAGAGAACTCACTGTAGCTATCGGATCTTTGCAAAAGGCCGCTCAGCTGAGCCAGTCAATTGTCTCAGACAAAGACAAGGGCGCGATTGAGAAGGATGATTTGAGCCCTGTGACTGTTGCTGACTTTGCAGTCCAGGCTCTTCTTACAGCGACAATCAAGAATGCTTTCCCGGAGGATCGAGTGGTCGGAGAGGAAGATGCGTCGGACTTGAAGCAGAAACCCGTGCTTATGGAGCGCGTGTGGGAGCTTCTGATGCGTATTGCCGGAGATGAGGATACACCGTCTCTGTGTCAGCTTCCTAAGACGCGAGAGCAGATGTGCGAGTTAATTGATGAGTGTGGAGCGAGTAGCCCTGCTTCAAGTGGACGTACTTGGGTGTTTGACCCTATCGATGGGACAAAGACTTATCTTCGGGGCCAGCTTTATGCTATTAACATGGGTCTTCTTGTTGATGGCGAACAAGTCGCTGGTATCGTTGGCGCGCCCAATCTGTCAATTGATGCCAAAGCGCCTCTCAAGAATGAGGATATTGATCCTAAGGATGAAGGATGTATCTTCTTTGCCGTCAAGGGCTATGGCGCTTACGTGCGACCTCTTCACTCTGATCAACCTCGTCAACTATCTGCTCATGCCGCCAACGAACAAATCAGCTTCGTCACCAGCGCCACAATCGTCGACTCTGCCTTGGATGGAATCCACGAAGTCGTTGCCTCGCGCCTCAATGCCAACTATCCGGGCAGCGACCTCGTTCCCTGGGTTTTGCGCTGGGCCGTTCTAGCGATGGGTTTGGGCAACACGACTGTTTGGGTATACAAACGCCGAGATCGCTACGCAAAAGCCTGGGATCACGCAGGTGCTATGTTGCTGTATGAGGAAGCTGGTGGCAAGATCACGGATGTACATGGGAAAAAGATCGATTTGACGGCCGGGAGGAAGATGAGCGCGAACTTTGGCTTCGTGGCGGCACCGACGGACGTTCATGGACGGGTACTGGAGACTGTGCACGATGTCCTAAGAGAGCAGGGTAAAGACGAGTTCTTGACTTAGAACATAGTTCCTGGGATCGGAGAAAAGGAGGATAGACGTACTTGACCAGAAGGGTGGAAAACAAATTGTTTGCTCAACCGGTTCGCAGCACAAACTGCGATGGGCAAGTTCAAGAACCTTCCATGAGCATATATGGCGCCTGGAACTGAGACTACAGTTCCTAATCCGTTTGCAAATCAAGGGCCGTGATGCGTGTTGGGTCCTGCCGTACAAACTGTCAAACAGAACGGTTGAAGAGAGGCAAACACCCGGATAATGTCCAATACCACGACGTTGAGTCCAATCATCTAGCCGAACACCAAACAAAAACGGAAATATGCTTCCCATCGTTTGCTTCAATAGAGTGCTTCTACCTGTTTGTATAATGCTTCTCGCCCAGCTATATAAGATCGCCAATGCCCATCTCAATTGTCCTCTGCTTCAACCTCTTTATCGTTCTGCTATCAAGTCAAAAGCACGATTCCGACTTCACCTACACATAACCAAAACCTCCAAGGGACCTCCGACAATACTAGGAATCTATCTAAAGAAGCAAGTCCCCAGTAGCATCATCGCGATGTCTTCCCATGAAAGTCAGGCCGAAAAGGTTCGCCAGGACCGCGAGCTTGCTCGCCAGAAGGGTATGTCTTCATTCTTCTCCGCTCAATAGCATGTCGTTAAAGGATTGTAGAGCCTCCCGCCACATGCGATGTAGCGGTGATTCGAAATGCTGTCGAGCAGCTTGACCCGGAAAAGCGCAAAGGGTCGGAGGCGAATGAGTCGAAGGAGAAGAGCCATGATGGCAAAGAAAAGGGGAAGAAGTGAAATTATAGATCGTGTATTCTCGTCACTTCGAGGTATTCGGATTATTATCGGTCGTTGGGTCAGAAGTTGTGGGTTGTTGCATCGTTGGAGACGTAAGGTTTGATGACTTAGTACCGTCTTGGATTTAAAATCTTGGACATTTCTAGGTTAGCTAGGACCAGAGCGAAAGCCGACAGAAGAATATAACCATGCCTCGCGGACATGAGACCTTTGGTGGCCTTGTTTGTAAATATGTGTTCGAGTTAAGACACTGCACTGTTGTTCCCCTATAGCCAGTCAGGCTCTTTGTTGTGAAACACTTGATTAAAAGAAAGCCCCTTTGTAGAGTACAATGAAATTTCGATCAGTTAGATGTTCGAAGTGTTTTGATACCGCGGGATGAAAAGATCGGGCTTTTGGAATTCGTCAAGCCGGCTGGGACAAAATGAGTCGTCATATGCTCGGTGACAAGGACCAGGATCAACTCGGGGTGTTGTTGGTGCATAACACTTCACGAAGGAATAGAATAAAGGAAAAGACCTCAAATATAGATTCAAGGTAATTTATTGATAGCTACATGAAAATATGCATGTGACTTCTCGTAGTGTTCCAGATACATAAGGAGAAACCGCTATGGACCTGTTCGGTGAACGTTTCTATGACCCACCACTCGTCACACGAATAGACCTTGACACCTTAATAACAAGAAGATGAACTACCCTGTGGCTTAGTAGGCCAAGCAAAAGTAGCCCAAATGCTGGTCTGGGCTGGCACAAAGTGTCCAGCTTTGTGTTCGACGGCTAAGGGGGTATGAACACTGCAACCTGTAATGGAACAACGCTCTTCTCAGCTGCCAGCTGTCAAGAAACCAGATACTGTCACTGCAGATGTTCCATGATATACCGAGATCGTTATTCTATTGGTGTAGGTGGTTGCCCAGCTCCAGGGAGGTGAGCTAATGCACCTGACATGTGGGTCTATACACTGCGGCCGTTTCTCCCTCCCACCCCCAAGGTTTTCAGAATTTGTCCCTCCACCTCCAAAATCTCTCGTGAGGAATGTTCTTGAAAGCTTCATCTTCTTCCTCGCAGTCTGTCTCCAGAGTGGTTGAGCTCACTGACTCGATATCCCCCTTCCCTGCTTGACTCCTCATGCAAGAGACGTTGCACTCAGCTACCCTCTCTCGCTTCCTCTCTTGTTGACCTTCTCTTGGTGCTCATACCCATCCTCGTGCCACTCGCCTCTGATACGTGACCGAATGCACGAGTCCATCGAGTTGTATCTCGCACGTTGCCCCCCTAAGAACTCGACGGGGTTCGAGATGGTAACCCCCCCAGTCTCCTCTTCGCGTTTCCCTTGATGGAATCTTATATGGAATACCTTGCAGCCGAAACACTCATCTCGTACCTTTGGGTGTACCATCTCGCGGCAAGCACCAATGCTCTGCACCCTGTAGTGTCCAAGCCTCTCTTTGAATCCCTAGACTTTGGTGGAGAACCTGGATCATGGTCAGCAAGCTCCTTAGATGGGAAAAGTTGAAATGCAAGAGAAGCAAATGATGAGAAACGTCAGATAAGCAGTATTAAATTGCTCTTTATTTGAGGCGTGGTGGCTAATGTAACAGTACCTCCAGACGCGTCTCAATCCTGATGATGAGGTTGAGACAAGAGCGGACACCGAAGCCGCCCACAGACTTTGCAAATCCTTAGAGAAGACGACCCACCATGGAAAGTCTGCTCTTGGCTCCAAGGAACCATCAACCCGGTATAGGTGCAGAGCTCAGGCCATGAGAGCACGAGTGGCATGTCTGCCCGTCAGGCCAGGCATGGATATAGCTTCAAAAGTCTATGCAAGACCTTGTTCCAACCCCGCCTCTTTCTTTTTCGAAGCCTGGCCTCCTCTAAGCCCGTCAACAACGAGATTGACTAATGTTACTATGATCACTGCTGATGTAGCTGCATCTTCGCGTCCAGGTACACTTCCGCTGGTCCGTCCTGACGCCCTCGCAGGGAATGATCCTGCCAGAACGGATTTTAGCAGAAAGATCGTCGAATTGCGAGCCGACAACAACTAAGTTCCGATGCTTCAAGCAACTTCGCAAGCTG